ATTAACATTCGTATCAAATTAAAATCAACATTCGTATCAAAAATCCAACCAGTCTCACAGTCATAATATAAATCATTAACATTCGTATCAAATTAAAATCAACCTTTATTGTATCAGATTCATAATAACCATCCTTAACCCGTACTATCTATAGAAACAAGCTGTCATGGCAAGCTGTCATAGAGAGAGAGAATTAAAGAAATATTATCCGGTATTCGCGCATTCTTAGTAGTTTTATCTATCCCCCCCTCCGCCAAGGTAAACACCATGCCCAACATGATGGGCAAGGAGAATTGAATAGAAGGAGGGGGCGATGAGGGCGATAGGGTTTCCGTACACTTTGCTGTGACGTTTTTGGACTGCTGAAGAACTAGTTTTTGCGTAACTATCGCCCCCTCCTTCTCAGGGGCGTACGAGGGCTTTTGTTTAGGGGGGGCACAATTTGCGCGCGTAAGCGCGCAAAAAAAATTTTTGGTCCCCCCCCCTTGGCAACATTGTGCCCCCCTTTAAAACCCCTTTTTTGAAAAAATATAATACCCTTTTTCAATTTTTTTGCCTCCCCCCTCCCACCTGGACTTGTTTTGTTCACTGGTGAAAAGACTACTTAATTTTGGGTGTTACTAACCTTAGAGTCTAAAAATTATTCCTTTGCTTGAAAAACTAACTTTTTGACTTTATTCATTTATCACTTAACTTCATCACAGCTAACTAAATCAATAATCACAGCATAATTAAAAATTATATTTTTACTAATAAACGAAATTTCTTCTGAATTTTTTAGATAGAATTTACTCAATCTACATATTCAACCACTCTTTTAAGCTACAATTTTTAGGGATTTGCTTGCACAAACATTTCAATAATTTTTTCAGTAGAGAGCTCAGACAGCCTTATAGGGTGTAAAGCTATAAGTGCATGATCGTTAAGTCTGCTCTCCGTCATAGTACAGATCTTGTGTAATGAAGTATTCTCTTTAGAAGGTTAAAACTTTTCTCTCCTTGTATTAATAGTGAATTCAGACAAATCCTTAGTCTTTGTCCAAATCACATCCAGATCAGATCCAAATCAGATCCAATCCAGATTCAAATCAGATCTAAATCAGATCCAAATCAGAACCAAATCAGACCAAGATCAGATCCAAATCAGATCCAGATCAGATCCAAATCAGATCCAATCCAGATACAAATCAGAACTAAATCAGATCCAGATCAGATCCAAATCAGTACCAGATCAGATCCAAATCAGATCCAAATCATATCAAGATCAGAACCAAATCAGACCCAGATCAGATCCAAATCAGATCCAATCCAGATCCAAATCAGATCCAGATCAGATTAAATCAGATCCAGATCAAATCTAAATCAGATCCAGATCAGATCCAAATCAGATCCAGATCAGATCCAATACAGATCCAATCCAGATCCAATCCAGATCCAGATCAGATCCAAATTATATCAGATCAAAATTAGATCCAAATCAGATCAAAATAAGAACAACAAAATCAGATCCAGATCAGATCCAAATCAGATCCAAATAAGATCAAAATAAGATCAAAATAAGATCCAGATCAGATCAAAATCAGATCCAATCAAGATCCAAATCAGATCCAAATCAGATCCAGATCAGGTCCATATCAGATATAAATCAGATCCAGATCAGATTTAGTTCAGATCCAGATCAGATCCAAATCAGATCCAGATCAGATCCAAATCAGATTCAATCTATAGATCCAAATAAGATCCAAATCAGATCCAAATCATATCAAGATCAGATCCAAATCAGATCTAGATCAGATCCAAATCAGATCTAGATCAGATCCAAATCAGATCTAGATCAGATCCAAATCAGATCTAGATCAGATCCAAATCAGATCTAGATCAGATCCAAATCAGATCTAGATCAGATCCAAATCAGATCTAGATCAGATCCAAATCAGATCTAGATCAGATCCAAATCAGATCTAGATCAGATCCAAATCAGATCTAGATCAGATCCAAATCAGATCTAGATCAGATCCAAATCAGATCTAGATCAGATCCAAATCAGATCCAATCCAGATCCAATTCAGATCCAAATCAGATCCAATAAAGATCCAAATCAGATCAAGATCAGATCCAAATCAGATCCAGATCAGATCTAAATCAGATCCAAATCCGATCCAGATCAGATCTAAATCAGATCCAATCCAGATCCAAATTATATCCAGATCAGATCTAAATCAGATCCAGATAAGATCCAATGCAGATACAAATCAGATCCAAATCAGCTCATATCAGATCCAAATCAGATCAGTTCCAAATCAGATCAGATCCAAATCAGATCAGTTTCAATTCATATCAGATCCAAATCAGATCCAAATCAGATCCAGATCAGATCAGATCCAATTCAGGTCAGTTTCAATTCATATCAGATCAAATCAGATCAGATCCAAATCAGATCAGTTTCAATTCATATCGGATCCACATCAGATCCAAATCAGATCTAAATCAGATCAGATCCGAATCAGATCAGATCCAAATCTGATCATGATCCAAATCAGATCAGATTCAATTTAAATCAGATCCAAATCAGATCATATCAGATCCAAATCAGATCCAAATCAGATACAAATCAGATCATATCAGATCCAAATCAGATCCAGATCAAACTAGACCAAAATCAGATCCAATTCAGATCCAAATTATATCAAGATCAGATCCAAATCAGATCCAGATCAGATCAGATCGGAATCAGATCAAGGTAAAATACTTTTTTATCCCAAAGTGTGTAAATGCTTTAAACTGTCAGTGATTCAAATTTGTCAACATTGCTTCATGTTCCAAAACGTGTTGTGTGCCCAAACTTTGCATTTGCTTTAAAAATGTGACATGTCAATCGATACCGAATCTGAAATTTCGAATACAATTTTATTATTTT